TTTTTTGACCCTGGTTGGGGAGGGGCCTAGTGTGCAATTGTACCAACAGTACATGTACGAATATTCATGCATCAGCCCAAAAAATTGGTTGTGAATGAGTGATAAGTAGTACACAATGCATGACATTTTGCGTGGTAACCTGTTGTTGCTACATAAGTACCGGTACATGTAGATATTTCCTATGCTTAGTACATGTACATTTCTGGGTTTGAGCAGCTCTATGAAAATCTTGGCCCAACAGCTGAATTTTCAGCCTTTTAGAATGTCAGAACCATGTACATGTACAGTAGGTTTCCGGACAAGGAATGCAAAAGATTTTTGAGGAATTACAGGTGAGGTACATTGTACATGTATTTTCAATGAGCAAATTTTGGGTTCACAATTTCAGCACCAAAACCCCATGAGCATTGCCTCCCTGTAGTGACATCACACCAACAGGGCCCTCATTTGTCAGGAAATGCCCGGGAAGTTTAACATGTTTGAAAACAGAGTGCACTTCAGATAGTGGTAACAAAAAAGAGATGTTCAGACTGGTACCGGTACATGTAGTTTTCTTTCGTTCAAGAGGAGTGGAAAGTCGTACAAACCATATTCCCAAGTAAAAGTCAAATCAGGGACCCTGTAAACCCTTGAAAACACCATTCATGCATCTTATGACTCATTTTACTTTCAGTATCTTGCAAACTAGTGATACAAGTCCAATACCTGTAGAGCAATAATGCCAACTTTCAACATAAGCTTTCAATCAATTTCATGCACGGTCTAACACTCAGTCCCAAAATGCCATGCCCTTACATGTAGCTTGGCTGCCAGTTTCTTAATGGGGCGTACAGGATATAAATTACAACCCTTAAATAATTTCTGTGACCTAGAGTCACCAGGTCCCTAATTTTGCCACCTGTGATTTGATTGGTTTTCACAGTCCTCAATGTGCACTCAATGGTACGTGTACATGTAATTACTGTACATTTCAGACTTTTTTGGCTAAATTGTTTTGTTTCTGCTTGCGGTGCATGTAGTACCAGGTACCTACCACAAGAAAGGCTGCTTTATATCGGTATTTGGCGTGAGAGCAAGCAAGAATGTACATCGAATTTCATCACAGTGAATTCTCAGAAGCTGAAAACATTTCAGTTGTAAGCAAGTGGTTTTCTGCTGCATTAACTTCACCTCAATTTTCGCATCAGCTGGTACTCAAAGGTTGATTCCCACGGTAGGATATCTGGGAAGTCCTCTTTTAAATAACTCCCTGGATTAGTGATCCAGACAGCTTTAGCTTAATACCTAAAGCAAAATAGGGTGGCTTTACGTTAGAGCAAGCTGTGATCCTTTGGGCCATGAAACCTGTCAAATAACTGGCTGCACTAAATGTGGGCAACTTCAGAGAGGCCGGAAATCCATAAGCAAGGCTTCCACGAGAAAAGGTCAAAAAAGATGGCTATTCGCTCATGACACACTGCCGCCATAGGCATGCAGAGCCTCGATCAGGTAGTTTTACATTTTCAATATAACCGGATCAGCTCCCGTGCATGCTGCTTATGTACATGTAATTTTGCGCGTGCTTCGTTAGTTCTTATATCATGCGACGGGGCAAAACTATTCTGACAGACCAGCTGCTAGACAAAGGAGCATTTTTATTGTGAGATTTCATTAGATCTATTCAGCAAAGGTACAATGTAAAATTCCACAGCAGTGCTTCCAGTGGATTTGTGAGTTGCAAAGTTTTGGATTAGTTCTACTGTGTACAAGCATCTGTACACATGTACTGGTACGGTGTACTTACAGCAATGCCACTACTTTCTATAAACACACTTACGGAACACCACACCTGTGTAAGTGATAAAGGTCACTGTACACGCACACTGTACACTGGTACTCGTACTGTACAGCACACTAATAACTTCTCTACGAACAAATCTATGTCTCCACAAGGATACAAATTTCAGAATAGGGTACCGGTACATGTTCTCAGTGTGTGAATTACAATGTACATTGTTCAGTACATGTTCCACTACATGTACATGTACGGTACATGTATGGTAAATGTGGCTCGGTGTTATTCTGTTTATGTGCAACATTTGTTATCCTGAACTTGCCCTCCATTACCATATCATGACTCATTCCCCCTCAAGTCAACATGACAACAGACCAATAACCAATATTGTACAAAAGTCGGGTGTCACAATCTCGGCAGCTGTATCACATTTGCATTCAATATCCCCCCCCCTCGATACCGTACAATACAAGACACACAGGGCCACTGAAAGCACTCGTTCCTTTCATGGATCAAGGTCAAACCGGTTACACAACACTCGGGGACAATTTCCCATCATACAGCACAGTGGCTTAGTGTGGCTCACTGATGTCCAACTGTTTTCTCACCAGGATACCATGTTTCCATTCCAAACCACTGAATCACTCGGGCTGAAAATGGGCACTTGTGTTATGCAAAGTACAAATACTGGTAGTTGAAAGTACCGGTACGGTACATGTACATGTATCAATGCATGAACCGAACCGGCAGTGTGTACTGGGTACTACTGGTTCCGTGGGAATCCACGAGCAGGGCCCATTCATATGCCTCCCTCAAGTCAGTTTTTGTTCTGTGAGCCCCAGGAGAGTGGGTGTACAAAAAAAATCGCTTTTCAATAAGCAATTCCATTTTTGAGGCACCTGTTTATGCTGTAAATGCATACGTACAGTATGTACATGTACTGTAGAATGTTTTTCCAACTACCTGTCCACTTGGCACTGATCTTTACATGGGAACAAGTACTCGCAGTGGAGCAATATGACACATACCGGTACATGATGTACAGGTACTAAAAGTAATTTATAAGAAGATAAACATGATTTACGATTGCATAAATTTGCGAGTACTGACCAACAGGCATGTACATGTACACATACCTAATGGTGTACGTACATATACACATGTACATGTACATCCTTATTGGGGATGTGTACACCCTTGGTACCATCCACAGGCTACAAGTACAAGTATGTACCAATACTAACATGTACACGTACATGAATGTATATGTACATGAATGTATACATGTATGTACATGAATGTACAGTACATGTGGGTGTACAGTTCATACATGTGTACACGTACTGTACATATACCGGTACACGTACACCTTACCAGTACAGTGTACCACAGGTGTACATGTACATGAACAGGTATCATACATTTGTACTTTTACCATGTACCGGTACATACTCTTAAATTAGACCCCCTTGCCCCATACACATGGAATCTGTTCCCAACCCCAAACATCCAATGAAGTCCCTTTAAAAAGGCAGGAAAAAATTCACCACAACAATTTCAACAAACTGTTTATGGATCAAACTGGTATAAAGCAGCATTCGTGCAGTGCCCGCAACCCTGCACAAATAAATTGTTCCAACTTTGCTCTGCTGGGCCACTGGATAGGGGTGTAAATCATCATTTATCACTATAGGGGGGTGATTAGGCGGTTGTTCAGTGACACTCTAGCTGTGGTCCAGGGCTGCTGCTGTTTGTTGACATTCCTACAAAGATGTTTCAGGAGAGAAACCCTGCTAAGATTTTTTGTTTGGGGCGAGCCTGGAAGTATCATTATAACTCTAGGGAATGCCGGACGTCAACGTTCTTGGAAGTGGTATTTCAAGGAATCACCTGCATGCGAAATATGTCTTCACCAGATGGCCTGCATACATGTACATGTAATTGTAATTATTTCATCGTCTTCCAGGGGGCCACTTTCACATTGGCTAAGCACAAAAAAAATATTTATTAGCCAAAAATTCCATGTGAAGTCTGCTGCTTGTAACTGGTACTGTGCTTAGTCTCAAACAGAAAATCTGCTTGCATGTACATGTACAAGTATCCACGCATGTACGGGGCAGCAACTGTTTTGTGTGAGAGCCCACAAGTTGGGCCGGGTGTGGAATAGAACTACATGTACAGTACTGAGGGATTGGTGCTTTATGCACTTGCTTTTCATGCCAACCCAGTAACGATAAGAATGTCACATCAGTCTAAATTCATGGTCTTGAATGAGAGCCCAGATAAGTGTCAAATTTTCATTTTTTCCTTAACATTTGGACACCATTTTGTACAAAATAATTCAACTCAATGCTCAAAATGAAGCTTCAGCAAACACAGAATAAATGCTTCTCAAAAGTACAGGTACTGGTGATTTTGGCGACATGCGCCCCCCCAAAAAACAAACTCCCCAAAAACCACTTTCAGACTGATTAAACAATGGTCTGGTCCTGTGCCAAACCATCCATCCAGGGGTTGAATTGAGCACGTGCAGATGAAACTGTTTGGATATAGTTATGACAGATCAAGTTCAGCCTTGATCATGTTGATGTTAGCACCGTAGCTATTACAGCGAAACAATTCTGGGCACTGCACATATGTGCACCGCACATGTACATGTAAAGTGTTTCGAGTGTGGTAATGTAATGCCACAGCGTGAAATTTCAAACTCCACGGTCCACCTCAGTACATGACAATGAGCACGTTTCCTTTGTGTGTTGGCAGTGTGCACCCCAGCCAGAAACTCTTCGCCAGCACACATTTCCTGCCAGAGGTATGGCTCAGCTGGGGTAATACGGGATTGCGGGGTCGGAAAGGGGGTCGTGTGAACAAGGAAGCACATCGGGTTTGCGGTAATGATAGAAGGCACTGACAGCCAGCCAATGCCAGCCCGGAGCTTGCTGATGGATACCTTTCAAAAAAAAAGGGAAGAGGGCTTACTCAAAAGCTCCTCAGTTCTGGAGTTTGAGTAAAGGACTGGCTGCACAATGAACAAGAATCAGATATGTGAGTCATCGTCCTCCAGCTCCCTTCTAAATTTTTTTTCAAACATCCTCTGACAGCGCTATGTTGAACTACTTCAGGGGCTCTAAACCATACTCCCAAAGTTAAGCCAGTTAAAGCCACTTTCTGAAATCTGGATAAAAATCCTGAGAAATCATACTGCTAGCACTGTACATGTACTCACCATCTCCGCTGGCTACTCCTTCCTGTCTGCTCAGCTCTGCCACAGCCGACTCGGGTGGGTAGACGATGAAGTGTCGCAAGGTGAATCCAAACCCCGTTGCATTACGCTGGAGGGTGACTTTGCGGGGACCAGGCCACGTGGGCTGCGACTCAGACTTGTCGGAGGCCTTGAAAGAGACATGGAAATCTTTCAGGTCAAAAATTGCAATTTTCGGACACACTTTATCAATTAACCTCAACTCGAAGTACCGTACACCGTCACTGGCAAAGACAACACGGCTTTGAAAGTGGTTACTGCTTCATCTGGGCACCCCGCACACATGTGAACACTGTCCTTTCCAACATGGTCAGTGCATCAGGAGCCAAATGTGCATTTCAGGTAACGTGAGTGCGCACTGCTATGGGTACTGAACATAAAAAGTTCCCACCTTGAGAGTATTGTTGCTACATGTACATGTATGTAACAGCATACAACCTCTTGTTCCCACACAGAACAGTTCAGTCAGCCCCGCCCATTGTGTACACATAAGAGATGCATGCTCCTCTCCAATTCAATCCTACACATTTGTACAGGTACTACCGTACATGTACTACCGTACCGTACATGTACCGTACATGTACCAGCTAAGTAGGTCATACATGTATGCATATACATGTACATACACGTACATACATGTATGTACATGTGCATGTATGTCAGACTTTGCGTGCATGCATGTTGGACGAGATCTGCGTGGACCCGCAATTGGTCAGAATACCGCAATGCAAGGAGTAACAGATCAGTCCTTCCTCATTGGATCCAACTGAATGTTTTCCTTAAATAATCTGTCCACACACTTCTCCTGGGCAGCACGCTTCAGGACTGAAACAATGAGTAGAAGTCGCTGGTTTCATCACTACCACCATGGTCCTTTTACAGTTTACCGTATATGTACATTAGCACACATGCATCCACAAAACATTTCTAAATTGCGTTCTGTCCTTTCTGCTTATTATCAGGCTGCATGCTCTTGACAGATGGTAGATTCTCAGCTGTATATTGCTCCTATTCCTGAACATTAGAGGAAACAAAAATTACAGCTAGGTGGTACATGCACTAATACATGTATATTGCTGGTAGTGGTACATGTACGGTACCATCTGCACACAATCTTCTGACTGCAGAGCTTCCCTAAATTTCACAGTGCAGTAAAGGATGACAAAGTGCATGTTTACAATGTACTTACTTTAGAGGCAGATTTCCTTAAAGGGCATATTTTACAGAGACATCTCCATGTGCAACAAGCCTAGGACTACGTTAGTAAGAGCATCTTTGCCGTGTGGTACATGTACGTGTACACCATAGCATACATGTACGTACATGTACCAGTATTGTATGGCCAGCACAATGTCTCAGTTCCAGTCAGTGAATTCTTTCACTTGATGCAGCGTACAGTACATATACCGGTACCGTACTAACTTGGTACGTGCCAGCCATTAAGAAATGTGAAATGACACTGATTACAGCTGGTCAAGCAGCCGGATGTGGTAGAAGAAACTGGCTTGGCTGTCCGCCACACTTCTGTATCACTGTACAGTATATGATACAAGACTTCCTCCAAACAAGTTAATGAACAGCTTGGCCAACCAGCGGTACTCGTAGATTGGAAGTGCATACATGAATCGTAACTTTGTTGCCTTTACCTCTGCGTCAAAGTTTAAACAAATCCAAATCACTCTTGTCAGGTCAAGCACAATGGCAGAAACTTTCCGGTTCTAGGGTACGGTACAGTATGTACCGGTAGCTTCCTGATTACTTTTAGTAAGTCCACAGGTACAAATGCACATGTACCGTAGTGTATGTACATTTTGTAAATGCCATTTAACACTAGCAATATCCGCGTATGTCATGTTCCAGTATGCAAACTTTTTACGGGTACATGTTTTCCACGCACTGCAGTGTACCACAAGTACATGTACACACACAATTAGTACATGTACACCTTCATCAACATACCGGTACTTTGCATATACGCATATATACATACATTGTACATCATGAACAGAACTAGTCTGACCACGACTCAATTCAGCTTTGTTCACCTGAACTCAATCTGTCTCACTCTTGACCTATTGCTGATTAGAAGTATTCACACAGTCAACCCCTCTTTGCTACTCCCCTCCCCTCAACAAAAAATCTGTCTTGTGGGCCAGGTCGATATCCAGTCCCTCCACAGTCCACTGACAGTGACTGATTATGTGATAGGGTGACAATAACTGAGTTTACATTCGCACAATATGGGTCATGGGGGCCAGAGAGTAAAGCGATTAATCAAAAAAGGAAAAAAAAAAAATTTAAAGGCCATTCGTGCAGAATGCCAAGGAAGCAAAGAGGAAATAACCTGAAGAGTTCATGGGAATAAAAATGTGGAATGCAGTACAACTGTATGTGTTATAATGTACAGTACAAAACTTTTGGTGAACTCTGTATGGACATACATGTAAGGACCTCGAATCTTCCCAAATCTGACCACAGCAAAAGAGAAAATTATACTTTGAAAGGCAGACACTGAAGTGTTAACCATAATTACTTTACAAAATGGTATGCATATGCATGTTTCCTGGTTTTGTGCCAAAGATGCACCACTCATTTGGAAGATTCGACAGCATTCGGAAGGTTTGAAGCCAAACTGATGTTACGCCATTGCACTCCACTGAAATACATCCATGGACATGTACGTTTACAGTAACAGTGAAAATCACTGCAACAATGAAAAACTATTTACCGGCAGCACAAAACCAGTGAAGGGGCCAGTGCATGTATTAAAGTTACAGTACTGTACCATCATGTTGGCTGTGTTCCCAGATCACGTTTTCACATGTTTGCCATGTCTAACTACACTGTACTTCATTCATAGGTCAGTGGGGCAGGTGTAAGTGGATTGAACCCAGATAGTGTAAGTACATGTACATGTACATGTATTTGTTTTGAAACAGAAATCAATGTCGGTTTGAATATTACAACTGACTGTAAATCCAGTTCCTTTCATTTTTGACTGCAATTAACAGAATAACCTACAGTGCACATGTACATTGATTAAAGTGCACTACCGTTTCATTCAAACTTTAGCCTGCAAGACTTGGGGTCACAATCTCGTATAAAATTTTGTCTGGGTGTTGAAACACTTGCCAAAATTTACAACCATAGGAGATTGAAACACTGCTAACACGACTGGCCTTCTTGACTGTATTGTGTCATAATGTAGGCCTACTGCTTACCTTCACAGTCAAAGTGAGACTCAAAATGTACGTGGGCATTTTCTACAGGACACATGTACTACACTGATAGACTGGGATCCGATCAAATTCTGCACACCACTATCTGACAGGTGAAGATCCAACCGTGAGCTAAAGACAAACTGCATACCTAACTACACACGGGCAAAGTAGGCTACCTGTACGTCATGAACCATGTACATGTACTGTTCACCTTATGTCTTCTGAGCTTGTTTTGTCTGTTTATAACAATAACACATCTAGTGCCATATCCGGAGGACTTCAGAGAAAAAACCTCAACTTCCACGATTTCAATTAAATACCTACATGCAGGTACAATTGAGACTATTAGTCACTTTTTTGACTTCAAAAAGGATTTCACACTCAAGCGTAATCGACCCATGGACAATGCATGGCCCTGGCCCATTCATGCCACGAGAATAGCAGGCCGTGAAGCACAGCCTTGAGAGCGGAGCTGAAATTTGCTCGGATCGCTGCGCTGACAATAAGAGATGCAGAAATGATCACTTGTCTGTCTTGTGTACATTGTACCGGTACATGTAACGACGGTACGTGTACGTCCTAGCACAATTCAAGAATCTTACACTCAACTGGTCAGTACAGCAATACAAATGAACATGAATGTACATGTATGTGCGCACACTGTACCAGAACCAACAGCATACAATGTTCATCTATGAACAGGTCTACATGTACACGTACCAGTATGCACATCTAAACGTACATACCGCTACGCTTGAGGACACCAACAAGCACATGCATTCTCAGAAGAAAGGGAAGTTCACTCTGTACCAGACAGCTCATACTGTAGGATACGTACATATACAGTAATTTCAGACCACTTTTTCTGCCAAATGCTATTCTCAATGTGTAGGTTAGACTTAGATGAGAATACATGTACATTTGTCATCTCAAAGCTGAATTATTTCAGTTTCCCCTCACTGTCAGTTTTGGAGACTGGTAAATTTTTCCTCAAGGACAAGTGCAATCAAGGCACCTCTTGGTGCATCTCTCTGAATCTCCCTGTTCAATCTGCTCACCACCATCAAAAATGCCGACCTTTATCAGCTGACCTGTTGCTATTTTTACATGGGCGGAGTAACCTGTTAATTGGGAGGAGGACTTTTCAAACCCTGGAGGGGTTCTGAAATAGGTAATATATTGTTTCCCTGGTGGGGTGAGAAAACGATTTGACATTTATCATAAAACTTTTGCTTTTAAAAAGTACATATACAGTAGAGTCTGACACAACTGTCTTTTTGTCCAGAGGAAAGCCATCATTGTGTGTTTATCCCTGGCAACGGAGTTGAGCAGTACATCTTTCGAGACTTTAATTAAATTAATGTACATGTGTATGTACCCTATGTATTGGCCTAGTACCTGTTAGTAGTGCCTGCATGGAATTTACATTATACGTAATGAGTATGCAATGTACCGGTACGTTAAAAAAAATCTGAAGAATGCAATTGTACAATACCTGTACTAGAACGGTATGTATCGGTAGCATTTCACACTTCCTGTCAACAGCACACAACATGTGCATACTGGTACCTGTACATGTGCATGCCGGTACCTGTACATAAACATGTGCATGCCAGTACCAGTACATGTACATAAACATGTGCATACCGGTACCTGTACATGAACATGTGCATGCCGGTACCTGTACATGTACAATGTACATGAACATGTGCATACCGGTACCTGTACATGAACATGTGCATGTGCATGCCGGTACAGTACCTGTACATGAACATGTGCATACTGGTATCTGTGTGCATGTGCATACCGTTACCTGAACATGAACATCTGCATACCGGTACCTGTGCATGAACATGTGCATACCGGTACCTGTACATGTACATAAACATGTGCATGCCAGTACCTGTAC